AGCTTAAAAATAACAAAAGTTTAAGTCAATGTGCAAGCTTGATTCTGAGAGCAGAATAAACACTGATTTTGGAAGGCATATGTGTTTTGCGGGGAATCTTAAGTTGGATCTAAGATCTGCCTTCTGCTCACAGAAGATGCCCCTGCCAGATTTCAGGAGTTCCCCTCTCCCCTCCATTTCCCCACCCTCTGTATAACATACTCAGGGAGCTGGAGGAACGGCTGTGGTGGAGAGGGGAGGGGAAGTCAATGTCCATGATCACAGTTGTATGTGTCTAAATCTGGATCCAACACCTCATTCCTTCTTTTGAAAAAAATTGAAATGTTGGAAAGCTGTTACCAGAGGTACTCTTTCTTCATATATGTACAAACCTGAGCACATACTACAAAGTATGTATTTGCTAAAAAGGGCCTTTGCACATTATCAATAGGATATCCATGGCAAATTAAGGAAGACCAAAACAACCCATGCACACAGATTTTGGAAAAGGTTTTTTTTCAAAATGGAAAGGAAAATGGGCCAATTAGGGCTGGAGAGATGTAGCTTCTAGCCCTTACTTCACCATGAAGTTCACAGGGCATCTTTGGGCTAATCATTTGATTCTCACTCCAACATCCCTCACAGGGTTGTTGTGAGGATAAAACAGATGAGAGGAGATTCACAAGTGCCACCTTGGTCTCCTTGGAGGAAAAGACAGACTACAAATCTAAAAAAGACATAAATGAACCAATAATTTCTCCAGCAACTATCTAAACGTCCTACCTGATTGCTTTCTGATCTCCATCACTCACCTTCTGTGGTACTGGAGAGATCCAGGGAACTCAGCATACTTTCATCCTGCACAACAGGACAGAGAAGACTGAACACCTTTTCTTCCTTCCCCATCCTGGCTGGTCACGCTTCCTGGTTTTCTCCACCCCAACCCTTTGGCTCTTCTGTTTTCCATTCCCACTTCCCCATTCCATGGCAAGTGGAAACAGAGCAAGCAAGAAAGAGAAGCACTGACCTGGCTAGAAGATGAACTGCCTCCATAGGCCCCCGTGCTTGTAACCAGAACAGGGGGCTCATCACCGCCCCTTGCATTTGCTGCCTCCTGTGCATAGTCATTTTGACCTTCAAAAGAAAATTACTGGGGGTGGGGGGCAGAATACTGCTTGCAGTTTGACCCACAGTGCCTTCTCCACCCTGCATCTTAAGCCCTACACCAGGCCTCTGGCCTTTATGATCAAATATGTCTTACATGTAGTGTTCAGACGGATTTCAAACACTTTGTGGGGATCTTCTGAATCTGTGCTGTTATCCTGTATCACATGAATCCCATCTTTTCGGTTCAGGGCGGAGCGGAAGTTTCTTTTCCATTCTGAAGGGGTCCGCTGGTCCCTCCCAGGGCGGAAACGGCCTCTGGCAATGGCCCAGTCCTGGAAGGAGAAGGGTTATGTCAGCAGAAGGGCGACTCCCGCACAGCAGACTTTTCTCCTCCCTTCTTTTGTCATGACAGATTCCTAAACTCAGCTATAGCATGTTGCTCCCTCTCCCTGCCCCTCATTCTCCCCAAAAAGCCATTCCCTTTAACAGACTCAGTTTGTGTCATCTTGGCTCACTCAATGGCCCAAGGGCATACCTGATCCCCCCAAAATGGGTATGCGTTTTAGGGTCACAGAGTGGGGGTCTTGCAAGCCTCTCGGGCCTTGTATAGGCATAAACCAGGCTGTGGGATTTACTTTGTTTTTTACTGGAACTCACTCTGGACCCACCAACCAGAGCCTGGTACAAAGGACATGCATATAGAATTAAAGAGGTCCAGGAATGAGTCTTGAGTACCGGGACTGAACAAACTTTCCAGCCCTACACAGAACAAAAACGGTCTTTTTTTATTCTAAAATTTCCTCATTTCAACAGTATAGTTTATGGCAGGAGGAGATGTTGTCTTTCTGTGCCCCACAATATTTGTTTACTTATCTGCCTCTTCGTTACATTTATATCCTGCTCTTTTCCCTTGAAGAAGCCCAGGGTTGCTTACATGATCCCCCTTTCCATCTTATCTTCACAACAAACCTATGAGGTAGGTCAGGCTGAGCATCAGTGACTGGCCCAAAGCAACCCAGTGAGCTTCAAGGCCAAGAGGGGACTAGAACCCAGGTCTCCTCCATCCCTCACTCTAACCCAGAGTCCCCAGCCTTTTTGGAGCTGTGGGCACATTTGGGAATTGGAGAAACTGCTGTGGGTGCTATCACAGAATGCCTAATCAGAGATCACTGCATATTCCTGTTGCATCTATGGATCTTAGGCTGCATCTTATTCATTTAAAAAAAAACAATTTGTGTCTACTGGACACTGCAATGTTTATTTAAGAAGGGAATTTGTAATTCCGCTAATTGCTGACAGCACAATAAAGCTAATTCTCCGTTTAAACATATTTTTTGGCAATGCCCAGTAGCTGCTTCTTTTGGGGAGGAGACTATACACAGATAAATTTTGTACCAGAAGAGTCTTTCATATTCCCTGATGCACATGCTCTTTTAAACGATTTCTCTACTTCATGGAAATAAATGAATAGTCAGTATAAATGGATTCTCCTTGCCCTTTTGATGGCTAAAAAGTTATAAGGCAGCTTTGGAAGGATAAACACTCTCTTCCTATAATGCTATGGAATGAGGACCTTCCCATTACTTGGCATACAGACAGTACTTTCAGAGGGATACTTAGTTGAATGTTTGGTCCACTTCGATTGAAGCCTATGAATGATGCAACAATATTGTATACATTTCATATGTATTTGTTGCTATGGATATATACAAATCCACATATGCATATTTTTAAAAGAGAGGGGCATTTCGGTTGGTACCCACAGGCACCATGTTGTGTACTCCTTCCCAGGTACCATTTGAAGAAACTGGCAAGAAAATACTGCAAGTGAAAGGATTTTTTTCTGCCAGAACATGTGTAAGAGTGTGTCCTCCATTTACATTTGAAGACAGGGAGTGATCCTTTTTGTTGCCATTATTTATAAACTGAGTCAGAAACCTTTGTGCAGGTACTGGGAATCAATCCTAGATTTATCAGTACATCACCACCTACTGATGATAAGGAAAAAGAAATATGGGTGCCAAAGTTACCATACAAGGGAACAGACACAGCTGATGTCGAAGTGCATCCACAAAAGTCCAACCAAATTGTGTCTCGCCATCTACTTCTGTGCCAAGTCCTATACTTTTGACATCTGGCATTAAAAAACCTCCTAATAAGTGTTGCTTCTGGGTGATTTTATAACACTTTTGTTCTGGCTGGAATTTTCCCTCTGGGGTGGGTGGTGTAATCAGCGTAAGAATGGCTTTCAGCTATCAGCAAGCACAGTTAATTTATGTTTTATATGCAAACCAAGAAAATCTGCATACAAAAATAGGCCCATTGACTTTTCTCTGTATCAATGATTCTGGCCTACTTATTTGAAAAAAAAAAACTAGCTTTCTCTCTCAATGGATTTTCATTGTGTTTGCTGAAGATTTTAACTTAAAATCTTAATTTCAAACTGAGGCCCAGATGATACAAATTGAACCTTGCTCTGTGCCTTTTGTTCAGGGCCTTTTAGGGTCACGAAGTCATGCCATCCAACAGTTCCTATTGGAGCTCCTGGGGTGATGTTCTCACCCCAGGCATCTGGAAAAGGTAGGAAGCCAAAATTTGGCAGCATTTTAAGAGCATGCTCTTTCTGACAATGACATAAAAGAACTAGTCCGTCAGACTATTCCTATGTAAATTACTGTACAAAATGTGTGCCTAGAGTACAAGCACAATACAGGGTGAAGGCTGAGAATAATTAGATCAGCCTTCCCGACAACAACTCCCAACTTGTCCAATCAGCCTAGCCCAAATCGGGCACTCCATCTCTCACCCTGCTTTTTTCCACCAAGAACCAATAATCAAAGCAAATCACAATCTGAATCTAACAACCTTTTCAGAGATAACCATTTACTAGTGCATGCAGAATCCTTTAGCTGTACCTATCCTTGATGGTATCAAGAAAGAGAACCGTACACTGAGGAGAACCTCTGTCTGATTCAAAGAGCTTCTTTCATTTACCTAACTCTCTCTTGCATTAAGTTTTGCTTTATTTTATACATAAATAAGTTCTCTGGTCCTAAGGCTATTCCTGGGAAACTGTTCCAAAATTTTACCATTCTGATGCAAACAAAATGTCTACCTACAGCCTTCCCCAAATATTTTTGGGACTACAACTCTAACCACTGTTCCACTTGGTCTGATGGGAACATGAGTCATCTAATGCAAAGGATGACACTGGATTAGCAAAGACCAGCTGTGTCGTGTTATGCAATGACCAACAGGGGAATAGGATGTGAGACACACACACCAAAGACTTTATACATGTTTACCTCAAAGAGCCTGAAGTCTTCATTGGTAATGTTCTGCCGGGACCCATGCTTCCATGGCACTCGAAACTGGGTGTGTTCTGGGTTCAGCCATGATACCCCTGGATATCGCTCGGCATTCAACTGTTCCACTAGCCAGGGCACAATGAGAGGCCTCTGAGCATTCATGGGAGATCGAGGGTGTGGATGTCACACTTTTATCTGTGAGGGAGCACGACGGGAGTGGCAAAATTATGAATCACCATAAAGCGTGGTGGGACAGCAGCACACGGAGTGTGTACCCTTGGGGGTTAGGAAGATCACAACGGCTGGTGCCACACACCAAATTTCTGATCCGGATAAAGGGCTTTTAAAGTATACGAAGTGTCCTGCCATCTCCAAGAAGATTCCAACAACAGCCTCCCTAGTGCAGCCTTCCCCAATCCGGCGCCTTGTGATTGCAGACTACATCTCCCATCATCCTGGTCACCTCAGCCAATGGAACTGAAATGGATCCCTCCAGTTAAGTCAGACATCATCTGACTTGATGTCTTCCAGACTGACAGACTACAATTGTCATTGTTCCCAGGCAACCAACGAGCACTGTAGTCTAACACTTCTGAAAGGCCCTCTCCATTTCTAATCCAACATCCTCTTTCCTGTGGTGATCACCAGATGACTTCGGGAAATCTCAAACCACAGCTTGAGGACAACCACCAGCTCCACTGCCCCTGCCCCCTCATCAACCCACATTCAAGAGTCATCCTGGCTCTAAGCCCTATCTTTATATTTCTCCTTGTAGCAGCGCTGGATTATCTCTGCTTTGCAGATGGGCTAACCAAAACCTAACTGGGAGGCAGAAATTTGCCCCGGAAGAGCAGAAATTTGGCCTGGATGGCCTCCCTCAATTTCAAGAGCTCATTGTGGCAAGATCTGAAGTCCAGTTTTCCTAAATCCAAGTAGTACCACCAGGAGAACTAAGCCTGCAACCCAAGGCTATAGGTTCAGCCTTGCATTTGGGCAAGCTGGGTATATGCCTTGTGTGTCAAGATGAGCAAGGCGGATCAGTTTTCGTTGACTGTCTATAGTGAGCTGGGAACAAAAAAAGGGAGGGGGGGAGGGCGAGAGAAAACAAAGGGTTGACAATCTATGCATGTCTCCCTAGAAATAAATCCTACTGAATTCAGTGGGCTTTTACTCCTGGTTAAGGATGTACAATATTGCACCCTAAGGATGCAATCCCATCCATGTTTAGCCAAAAGCATTCTAAAACTCTGAGCAATCCTCAGTCAGCTGACTTTTTTGTGTTTAAACATGCTCTTAGCTAAATACAATGCACCGACTTCCGGGAAAACAGGCATGAGATCGCATCGCAAATTGTCTGAACTCGTGCGGAAAAGATTGCTGTTTCCTAGGCCTTCCTAAAAGACTCCTTCGCCTGAGGTTTCGGTGGGCAAAGAGGTTCAGTTAGGAAGAACTGTGCCGATTCGCTTCTCGCGTTACCGGAAGCAAGGCTCCGCTCCTAGGCCATCCGACTCCCGCCGCCCCACACGCCGCTGAGAACCTACCACGTCCTCTCCGCCGCCTCCGCCTCAATCAAACTAACCCAAATGCACAGGGAAAGCGCCTCGGCCGCCTCCTCAGCGTCATGTGATTGCAGAAGTTACTTTCGGTTTTCGATCCTGCATAGCAGTACGCTCGTCGGCTTCTCCCTGGAAAATCATCATCATCACCAAAAGCAGCAGCCGCCGCCAGCTTTGTCTTCCTCCTCTCTATGTACACAGATGGAGGGAGGAACATTTCCCAGTGGAAAGAGGACAGTTTGAGGCTTTGACTCCGCATTTTGAGTTTTATTTTAAGGAGAGGCATTTCTGAAAAAGTGAGAATTAACGGGTTGCCAGCTAAGGATTAATAGTAATGCCCCCTTCTGTGCAACTGCCTTCCCCAAACCTAGCAGACTTTTCAGATGTGCTGGGCCACCTGTCCCACTATCCCCAGCTGGCACAACTGGCTGCAGTTGATGAGGCTGGTGCTCCAACACATCTGTAAGGTACGTGGTTGGGGAAGGTTGTAGTGCAGGGTCACACATTCCGGAGTGGAGATAATGTTGCTCCGGCCTTCCCCAAGTGTCTTCCCCACCAGGCGTGTTAGCTTACAACTCATCAACCAGTATGGGCCATCCTGGGAGCTGAGGTTCAGCACCAGGTTGGACGACGCTCCATTGCTGCAAAGCCTGCAGGCTCCAGTCCCTAGGGCCTTCCCCTTGCAGCACAGTCCTGCATGGAATGTATGCTCGCATTACTTACTCTCTCGTTTGATCATCCAACTATCAGGCTTTCATGAAGTTAAAATTAAGAGCCAGTGTGGCGTAGTGGTTCAGAGCATGGGACTGGGACTCGGAGGATCCGGGTTCGAGTCCCCACTCAGCCATGGAGCCAACTGGGTGACTTTGAGCCAGTCACAGACTCTCAGCCCAACCTACCTCACAGGGCTGTTGTTGTGGGGATAAGATGGAGGAGGAGAATGATGTAAGCTGCCTTGAGCCCTCTGAGGAAAAAGGCAGGATATAAATCCAAAAATAAATAAAATGAAGTAAGCCTAGATAGGCTATTTGAGGTCCTTAGAAAAAGGGAGCTATCCAATTAATGTAGTATCTTGTTTCTTAATAATTCTGGGCATCTGCTACACCTGTGAGGACAGCACATTGCACATGCTTTTTGCGCCCATGTTTTCCTGGCTGTGCGGCCAAGCTTGTGCCCCTCTCTTGAGCCACACTCAAAAGAGCAAGCATGGAGCAGCTGCGTGTCAGACTCAGCTCTTGCTCCACTGTCATTGACTCCCAAAGGTTATTCTTTGATGTATTTTATTTATTTATGTTACTATTTAATTTGTTTAAAAGCTACCCATTAGCATCATGTTTATATTCCTTTGTTTTATCACTGATTGTGTAGTTTACTCTCATCTCTAAATTGCCTTGGTAATTTTTTTCACAGAAAGGAGAGTAATAATCCTTGATAACCAATCAATAAACAAATTTTTTGTTTCTGGTTTTGTTCTGTCCTGTTTTAATTGGCTTTGGATGGGAATGAACAACTTGTAGCCCTCCAGATGTTGTGATCTACAGTTCCCATCAGCCCCCACTGCCATAGCCAATGGTGAAAAATTTCGGGAGCTGTAGGCCAAAAAAATTGGAGGATTCTAAATTGTTCTCCTCAGCATTAGGCAGTAATCCAACCCTTTCCAATCATGCACACTCCAGATGGTTTGATCTATGTTTCTATCACTCTGGCCACTGGGCATTCTGGCTCAAATAATGAGAGTTGTAATCCAAAGCATTTGCTATAATTCTGCACATATTTACATAGGAGTTAATGCCACTGGATGTGGTAAAGCTTATGCCTGAGTAGATACTTAGATTTTAAACTTTTAATGTTTTTAGTTTTAGCTTTTTTAAAACTTTTGTGAACTGTCCAGACAGCTTCAGCTATTGGGCAGCATAGAAATGTGATAAATAAATCGAACATTTATAGAATTGCACCATTAATTTCATTATTATTTGGCTTACAGAGCAAGCCTAGACACATCTCCTTAGAAATAAATCCCATTTGGTTCGATGAGGCTTAGGAAGTGAGCATAGTGTTACAGCCTCATGTAATGCTATGCTTACCTTGGAGTAACCCCCATTGAACTGGGTAGGATTCATCTCTGAATAGATATGCAAAGGATCATGCTGTTAAACTAATACATTGTTGACAGGTGGAAAATACAGAATGAAATGTGGGGTAAAGAGATTTTAAATGAAGAAGCAGATCTCTAAGGTAGAATGCACACAGCTTTCTTCAACAGTTCTGCATTATTCAGTGTGGGAGTCATGGTAACCAAAATGTCATATAATGTGCTTTAGATTTGTTCCGTACATGTTTTTAACTGACAGTGCACTCCTATGTAAGATCTGCTCAGAAGTAAGAGTCACTGGATTCAGTGGAGTGCTTATTCTCAGATAAATGAGTATAGGATTACAATACAGGAAATCTGTATGTGCATTTTTTGCAGCAGAATCAAATGGTAGAATGAGATCATTAGTTAAGGCTGTGGATAGTGTGAGAGCTTCTGGTGGGTTCTGGGGCTAGCCCCTTGTACTGGAGGACAAAGCTGGGCTATATGACTTGTCCATAAACTAGGCTGCTGCTTCAGGTGTAGTGAAGGACGCTTTGTCAGTGCTGAAGTACATTTCAGCTGCCAGTCCAGGTGGCTTCTGTTGGTGGAAAAGGAAAAAAATCACGTACTGTATGGGCTCTACCAAAAAGTTAATTAGTTTCCACAGGTATTGCAGTGAAATATCCCAGTCCAAAATTCAGGACGGTTTCTTGAAGCCATGTCAAGGCCTTATGGCCTCAGCTTGTTAGAAGTACACTAGAAAAGATTAACTTGGGACTGCCTTCTCCAATCATTCTATAGATAAGAAGAAGCAGCTTCACCCTCACTCCTGTCTCCCAGGAAGTGGGGGTTAGAGTCTGTGTGCATACCAACAGGCTCCAAAACAGGGGAGAGAAGAACTTTATCAACTCCATGGCAGGAGGTACTGTCATTTCTTGGGGAGCAGAACTGATGCTTACCCACTCAGGCAACATGCAATGGGGCCCCAAATAAGTTGTTTAAATAAATAAATAAATAAATAAAAACATTGGATGCCCACAAAATATCTCCTGCCTTATTCATGAATCTGGTATGGTCACAGATAAGAGAGTGTAGATTTTCTTTTGCTTTTTTATATTCTGTAGCCATAATTCATCACTGTATATCATCTTTGACACAGGTGACCTTGTTTCTTCCCAAGTACCCGTGGATCTAAAGTGAGGTCCTTCAGCTACACCTGGCGCCTTGTGATTGATACAGGATGCCATCTTGTCCTTCACCTCAGACAGCAAACGGCCCTGTGCCAGTCTGCACTGATAGCAAACTGCAAGGCTATCCCAGCTGCAGACACAGCTCAGGAATACGTCGATTATGCTTTTCTACACATTTGCTTCTGTGTCCTGGCTTGTGGAGAACACCCCTCCACGTAGCTCCTGCCCAACGCAGCTAAAATAAAAAGAGCGTTCTCACCTGCATATCCGGTGACTGATCAGATTTGCATTGCACTGCTTGTACACCCTGTAAGACTTCGTAAAAGCAAAATAGTAAAAGAGCAAGTGTTGAAAATTAGAAGTGTCTCACTGCTCAGCCACCATCACTCCCCCAGAAAATGTATCACTACTTTCTGGTTGTTTCCAGGGACATTGTCTTTGCCTCTTGCCATGTCTGAGAACATTTGGCAGCTCTTGAGTTCCCAATTAGTCTGGTCTGTAGTAGAATCTCAATGAGATCTAAGAGCTGGCAGAGAGAGAGCCAACTAGGGACAGTCACTCTTTTATGGTGGGGGGGGGGGGCTCCTGGGTAAATCAATCATTGCCTTTGTTTTCCTCCTATTGTTTTCATTTTTTGCTTTGTGAGGGTATTAATTCCTATAGAAGTCTCTAATGTGTTGGTGTAAATTCATGAATTCGTAATTCAGGGGCAGCAGAGGAACAAAAGGCTGCAGGCCCATCCCCACCTCTGCTAAGACAACTCTTGATGCTCCTGCACCCTCCCAATATCACACCTGCCAGGAGGTTTTGCCAAAACCGGGGAAATACATTACTACACAAGAGGGATGCAATATGTACATGCTAACGGTTGTCTACAGACACAGATTTAGAAAGGCTTGGCGTGGTTGAAACAGAAATATTTCCCCAGGATGCAGAAGACTGAGACCAAGTGAGCTGTGTGCCTGCCTGTTTGATCTGCATTTCAGTTCTGCATGTTGATGGGCAACTGTTCTTATGAGGGTTCATTATTTATAAAGCAGGATTGGGCAGGCCAGCCCTTCAAACAGAGGCTGTCATCTGTAAAAGAGGGCATGTGGCCATCCTATGGCAGCCAGCTGCTGAGGAATATTTTGCCATTGTTCCCCAGAGCTTCCCAATCATTGAGGCAGAAGACAGCAGAACCATCAAACAGCTTCCAAGAAAACCATTCTCCGTAATGGTTTTGGGCGGTTGAATTTGAACTTG